ATTCGTATCCTAACAGACTGCTTTTGTCTGCAGGAAGGATAAAATAGAATTATTATTTTTATTAGCATGCCCCTTGAAACGTAAATCTGAGTTCAATCGAGTTCAATGAGAATGCAACCTCACATGTGCCCCTGTTCAGCGGTATAATACCTGAACGTCTTCGGGAAGTTCCATTCATTCTTCGTGAACACGCTTCTTTGAGCTGATCTTGATCCAATTTTTGCGCAGAGTGTAACATGGCCACGGAATATCACATGACCTGCGAACATGTGAAACGTTCTATCGATACTTTTCACTGTTACGCTAACACTTTACACTGTTCACTTAACATGTTAATCGAAATGAATGAGAACAATGATCAAAATTGATAAATGTTACGAATTTACATATTTTTGGGGGTTTACAGCTTCGTTTTCCACGTAAATTACATGCTCATCTTGAAAAAAAATATATATTTATCCTATTGTGCTCTTTTCTATTGTCACTTTTTCTATTGTCACTTTTTCTATTGTCACTTTTTCTATTGTCACTTTTTTTCTATTGTTCTTTTTTACCCATTTTTGCCTAACCAATGCAGGTGTTTGCTTTTACCCGAACTAAGCGACATGTAAGTACATAATGATACTCTACCCGAAAACGATAATAAATCAATCGAATCCGTTGCAAAAAATTGATAATTTTCTGAAAACATGAACAATAGTGCATTTTCTACCGATGTTTCATTGTTTTGGATTCTTTCTGAGGGAGAGAGAGAGAGAGAGAGAGAGAGAGAGAGAGAGAGAGAGAGATAGAGAAGATGGGGAAAAAGGGAGAGAAAAGCAAGAGAATGGAACATGCGAGAGACATGCGAATGAATGAACAGAACGCAATTTTTGTGAAAATTGCTATAATTTGATCAAAAGTGTATTTTTTATTTTCATTTCATCGACATTTTGGATGAATACCGCTAATAAAGTTGAATATTTTTAGTGTTTTTTTTCATCATTTCATCGAAATTTAGATAAAATAACGCTAAATAATCAAATTTCGTCGTCTTAATAACATAAATAATACTCATGAAGGAATCCGGTATCGAATGCAGAAAAAAAAAATGCAGAAACCCGAAAACGCAGAAAGAAAAAATGCAGAAAAAAAATTTGCAGAAAAGAAAAAAATGCAGAAAACTAAAAACGCAGAAAAATTGAAAAAATACGATTTTTTCGAAAGTTTGTTGACCACAATAGATTTCGTCCGACGCGTGTTTTTTTAATCTGGCACATCAGCCAAATAAGTGCCAGGCGATAGTTTAGGCCGCCTTGAGTTCATAATGGGCCATGGTTTTGGGTAAAGGTGCTTCTGCCGGGAGTTAATGACTATAGGCGTTCCCACATTTCAGGAAGAACGAATTTCTTGATGAAACTTAGTTTTTACACCAGTACTCCGGTATTTATTGGTTTTTTACCTATCTATTCAGGAAGTAATTTGTTCAGACGATCACGCAGATTCTGCAGAAGCGATTCTATACTCTCAAAGCTACAATATGTTTCAGAAAATGGGTTGAAATGGATAAAATTCGTGGAAAATGGTCAAAATTAGTTACTGTATTAACATTTACAACTTTTGAAATGTACGGTTCAACACATGAATGTCAGATTCTAGTTGCTGGCGAGCCGATATTAACCTCATACTTCGTTTTTATGAGTTGGTGGATTTAGTGAATTTTTTTTTCAGTGGTGTTAGAAAAGTGGTCGAAAACGGCCTCTTACGATGTTTTTGTCTTGGACAACTAACATTTTTTCTCAAAAAAAATGGGTCCCAGAACACTTGAACACTGGTTTTCCTACAAATTTGGTCGCAAATCGACATTTCTTCATAAAACTATCGATCAATTGAAAGATTGATACAAAATCACATTTTTGGCATAGAAAACCCTCCCATTCTTTTTTGAGAAAAATCATGTTTCCACTGAATCCACCAACTCACCAAAACGAAGTATGAGGTTAATATCGGCTCGCCAGCAACTAGAATCTGACATTCATGTGTTGAACCGTACATTTCAAAAGTTGTAAATGTTAATACAGTAACTAATTTTGACCATTTTCCACGAATTTTACCCATTTCAACCCATTTTCTGAAACATATTGTAGCTTTGAGAGTACAGAATCGCTTCTGCGTGATCGTCTGAACAAATTACTTCTTGAATAGATAGGTAAAAAACCAATAAATACCGGAGTACTGGTGTAAAAACTAAGTTTCATCAAGAAATTCGTTCTTCCTGAAATGTGGGAACGCCTATAGTCGTTAACTCCCGGCAGAAGCACCTTTACCCAAAACCATGGCCCATTATGAACTCAGGGCGGCCTAAACTATCGCCTGGCACTTATTTGGCTGATGTGCCAGATTAAAAAAACACGCGTCGGACGAAATCTATTGTGGTCAACAAACTTTCGAAAAAATTGTATTTTTTCAATTTTTCTGCGTTTTTAGTTTTCTGCATTTTTTTCTTTTCTGCAAATTTTTTTTCTGCATTTTTTCTTTCTGCGTTTTTGGATTTCTGCATTTTTTCTTTCTGCAAAATTTTTTTCTGCATTTTTTCTTTCTGCGTTTTTGGGTTTCTGCAATTTTTTTTTCTGCATTTTTTCTTTCTGCAAATTTTTTTTTGCGTTTTTGGGTTTCTGCATTTTTTTTCTGCATTCGATACCGGATTCTGCTTGCTACCGTCTCGCGCTTCGAGACGAATTCAGTTTTTTGTATCATACTCAGAAACTTTTTCTGCAATGGGTAGTTGACATGTATGTACGAATTGAAGGTACGAGGTTGCATTTCATTCGTAGTGAACAAAAAGAATTGCGGTCTGAAGTTTATTACAGAGATGACTAAGCGCACGCTCAGTAGCGTATTCAGCAACTCAACTGAGAGTCGTTTTCTGCTCTGTGCGTTTACACTCACTTCGTTATGAGTTTATGTGCGCACTCTGACTTTGTTGTTAAGAAATGCGTGCGCACTCTAACTCTGTTGCCTATTATGGTTTATACACACATATAAAGAGTTGAGTGTGTATTGTCTTATTCTTTTCTTTGTGTTCCTTTCTTTGTATATCCTCTCTATTGTTTCTTCGTTGTGTACGAGTGCGGTGTAGCGCACTCCGTTGGTGCGCTTATACTCTCTTCATGGAGTGGGTTTGTTTGTGCTGCAGCGCAATATCGCACTGAGCATGTTTTAAGCACGCAAACTCAGTGTCCGTGCGGCCGTTGCTCGGTCACTCGGTGCGCTTCAGTCATCTCTGGTTTGTTATAATCTGACAGACCATTTACGGTTGCGAGACCAAGGCACCGATAACGACGATGGCAATATAGGTCGAAGAGTAATTTTACCTTATTCTTTCACGGGTTCCCCACGTAATATGTACCAAAACTACCTTGACGCAATGTCGATTGTGCAGCGTTTTTGGTAAGCCATCCCTTTTCATTACCATGACGTGCAACCCACAGCGGGCTGAAATAAAGGGTTGTTTAGATTCAAATGTTGAATCGGCAAATTACCGTCCGGACATTATTGTCCGTGTTTTACTTTTTCGCACGCCCATGTCGTGAGTAAAAGTATTGTAATCACTTCAAAACCTAGGTTTCGCTTGAAATTAAAGGAATTAATCAAAATAATTGTGGACAAACGCATATTTGGCAAAGTAATAGCGATCATTTATACAATAGAATTCCAAAAGAGAGGTTTACCTCATGCACACATTTTAATCACATTAGACGACAACGATAAAATTGTTGGTCCCTCAAATATTGATCGGGCTGTTTGTGCCGAAATTCCTGATGAACAAACGCAGCCACAATTGCATGAATTAGTGAGAAAACATATGATGCACGGCCCATGTGGCGCGTTGAATCAAAATTCTGTGTGCATGAGAGGAGGCAAGTGCAGTAAAGATTTTCCAAAGCCTTTTTGTGAGAATACACTTGAGTCTGTCAAAGAAAAGTTGTTTACAAGCGGTTGTTTTCAATCTTCATCATGACGGTCTTACAAAAATAAACAAACCAAAAGTTGCATCGCACATTGATTGCATTGTCATTATTGAATTTTACTAATAATTACTCCAAATTACGTAGAGATTTCAAGTGGATTTCAAGTGATTTGAAGCAATTGAGAGAATATCATGAAAAATTTCATGGGTTCATGGGAACAGTCCGTATGGGTAAAGAGTGGTTGTATTTTCTTGGTCGCCTTGAATAATGAACAGCCATGGTTGCGTCATGTCTGAGCCGTGTAAGTCAACGTGTAAGGATATTTCTGAGCGTATGAAATCCACGGTAAGTAATTCCACCATACGTGATTCGTTCCAATGAGCGACATTTTTTGTCAATTTCTTTGAGTATATCGACTTCAAGATGAATTCTTCGTCCAAAATGAATTGCTGTTATCAAACGACCAAATCTGTTCATCACACGGAAGAGTAGATCATGATCAAATGGATCATGAAACCATATTTCCGAAAATCGCTGATAAAACAGCAAGCATCTTGAATTGATGAAAGTCAACCAAAACGCAAAGCAGTGCCGTAACTAGAAAAAAATCTTTGGTGGTGCGCTGAAAATTTTCAAAGGTGCTGAAAAACGATAACGAACAACAACAAAAATAACAATACATTTTGCGTTTTTCTGAGAACCAATTATGATTCGTTTTATTCAAGATCAAATATAATATTTATTTAATGTTACAGTAACGTAATTGCTGATTTGATTAGGAAATATAATAGTATTGTAGATATTCAATAATGTTTACATAAATCGAAAAAGTATCAAAAACAAAAATAAGACCTGATTCGTTGCACTTTAAAATAAACTTAAACGTCTGTTTTTTTCATTGAATTTTCGCATAATAGAATTGTCATCCAATGTTTTGAGTTTCTTTTTTTCAAATGCCAAGAATGTGAGATTGCAGAGGCGCTTATCCGTCATCGCCATCCGACGCACCGTGTCTATTCTTGATAATGCTGAAAATGAGCACTCACTTACTGCCGTGCTACTTGCAAACGTTTCAGCTGCCTCCAGTAGTTGATACGTATCATTCATAGCTTCTCTAACTGGAAATAGCTTCTCTAACTTGGACATTCCTTGCTTGTTTTTTTCTTTCGATAAAAATTGTTTCACCACGGATAATTCGGCTTCTGAGGGCAATGTCAAATTAATTTCGCTCAACGGCTTGAGCGCATTTCGATCAAAATCATCGTCACCTATGTTGTTTACTTCATCGATAGCAGTCAAAATATCGGTGTTCTCATCGAAGCGACGAGCCATTTCACTTGAAACGCGATCGATTACATTGAAATACTGCGATTTCAGCAACAATGTTTCTTTTTCGACGTTGTTTTGCGCATCTACTTCAATGTGACGCTCCCCAAGCGTCTCCAATACGATAGAGTTATTCAATCGGGTGCTACGCTGACGAATTCTCTGTGGTCTCGGCTCGAAATCTTCAAAATTGCTCATTACTTTTTCAGCGATTTGCAGAAAACGGTTGAACGCTTCATCCGTTCTTTGATCCAGCACGGTTTTGTGAACGGATTCAATTATCGGCTTCGCTTGAATAAATCCTATTTCACGGCTTTGAAGCATTTTGTTGGCTGGTTCTATCAAACTGAGTAAATGACATAAAAAATGCAGCATGAACAAAAACTTCTTTTCCATAATTGCACTTGACAGGCCTGAAGCTAATGCAATGTCGTCGGCATCAAAGTTCTTTCCATTGCCATTTTTTATCGTGTCCAATGCAGCAAGCAAATCATCGTAATTTTGGGCGATTGTTTCAATTGCTTTTAAATGGCCGGACCATCGTGTTTCAATGAGTCTGGGAATGTTCGTTCCGTCGTATTCTCTTCGAACCTTGAAACGATTGAAAAATTTATGCAGAAGCCTAACTTGATCGAAAAATAACCGGCATGAGTCTATTTCCGACACTACAGCTATTACGACAAGATGCAAACGGTGATTAAAACAATGTATATAGGGGATTTTTCGTTTGAAGTATTCTTGTAGCAATGTTTGCACACCACCATGTTCTCCGCTCATGACGAACGCACCGTCATAGCACTGGCAGATTATTTTAGCAACAATAATGTCATATTCTGTGATTTGGTCGATGATCAATTGTGTTATGCCTTTTGCTGTGATGTCGTCAGCTTTTACAAAACACAGAAGTGATTCAACTGGCTTTCCATTCTTGATATAACGAAACGCAATTGATATGATTTCCCGAAGGTTTTTGTCTTTGGTTCCGTCGGCCATCAAAGTGCAATGGGTAGAATCATTTATATCGGCAACAATTTTCTCACGCAACAGATCGGCAATGATTTGAATGATTTCATTTTGGATGAGAGGAGACGTATACGTTGCGTTTGCAGGCATTTGCTCTTGGCAGTGACGCAAATGTTCATCGTTTTCCAAATTGTACTCGAATAAATTATTAAATAAGCCACCTTCTTTATCTTCTGCACTGTCCCAGTTCCCGCGCAAAGGCAACTCGTTTTGCGCCAAGAATAAAATCGTTGAGATGATCTTTTTAAAATAATAACGTCGCTTTTCTAAAACGGTTTCATTCAAAAGAGTTGACACTTCTTGGTTTGAACTTGACCTACACAATTTCTCTTTCCATGAAAGCATGCTGCTTATATGAGATGGAGTTGATTCATGCTTTTTAAATCCTTTGCCTGTACTTAAAGCCGCTTGCCATTTGTCATAGCCAGTCGTTGTGAAGACATCACTCACGTTGCCCAGTCCAAATTGACGGCATGCGTAGCAAAACGCCGCATCTTTTTCTTTGGAATATTCCAACCACTCGAAGTTTGTGAGCCATTTGCTTTGGAACGACCGTCCATCTTCCTGCTTTTTGAATTTGTAATTATTGAAAACTTGAATCTTCTTGTCTTCTCCTTTCTGTGAGATATCGTTCGGCTCATGAATAGTTTCAGTTCGTTCGGATGTGGTTCCAGATCCACTTGCAATTTCTTCTGAAACAATCACGCTTGGAACAATTTCACTTGAATCAACTCGTTCTGCAGTAGTTGAACTTGCTTCTTTCGCTCGGCTTTTTTTGTTCCAAAAACTTTCCAATGTAGCCTAAAAATATTTGTTAATAATCTAAGATAATATTTGCTTTTCAAGCGATAATGGTAACATCTACCTCTGGATTTCGTTTCGGTTCAACACCTTTTCCACTTTTATTCGATGTTTTTTTTTGTGGCAAAGACATTTTAAATGTAAAAGTCAGTATCGAAACTTTGCTATTGATTTTGCAAGAAAACAACCGACTAATCGATGAGCTGATTACGAACTGACACAAATTCAATTTCTTTTCATGCATCGTACTTCTTCGTTCAATTGTTTACATTTGATATTAAACCAAACAATTCTATATTTTTGTCGGTGATATTAATAAAATATGCTTATTATCAAATCAAGTGGTGACGACGCTGATCTGCGCTGATCTTGCAAATTTTGTTTTGACTTTCGTATGTTTTGTGAATTGAACTGTGTATGCAGTAATCAAATTGGGATTAATATCGAGTTTGAAATGCCTAATTAGCAAAAACAATAAATACAAGTAAACGCAGTTCATATAACCAAGTTTTCATATGAATCCAAACAGAACCGATAGCCGATGTATAGAAGAATGCTTTGATTTAAAACACTGAAGCAAAATACTGAAATGATGATTCATTTATTTGCCGATTTTGTCTCAACTTTTTTGTGTGTAGGCAGAAAAAAGTATCAAACATTATCGGAAATTTTTCAAGAAAGTGCTGAACAAATGCTCAAAAAAATTCTGGGGGTGCTCGACAAGATTTTGGGGGTGCTGAGCACCCCCAAGCACCCGTCTGATTACGGGCCTGACGCAAAGTGTTTCGAGGTCCACCAGTCGAAAAATGTTCATCAAACAATGATCGTCCAACATCACTATTCTTGACTGTTCCCATGAACCCATAAAAACTTTCATGATATTCTCTCAATTGCTTCGAATCACTTGAAATCCACTAATATGACAGCTTGAAAAGTATTCCAGAGCAACGATGGTTTTGTTTACTTAGATTGATAATCCGAGATAAGATACAATGATTCTTTTGATTTATCTGCAGAAGTGACAATTTTTGGCGGGGTTTGGAGATTTTTGTGATGCGTTTTGTGATCTGTACAGAGAAACACGTACTGATTTCAATCCTCCCAAATTATTTGTTATAACTAATCCTAAAAACAATAATAGAGTCATGTTGTCTCGTACACACAACGACAACGTCATTGTCATATCTAGCGATAGTGAAAGTGATCCGAATGAACAAGTAAGATTTCCATATTTTCTATGTTCGCAGTTTGCTTCATTTGATTTTGATTTTGATTTTTTCTTCAATGAAGAACGATGTCGCACAAACCTTAGATCTGATCGCCCCAAAACAAACTTTAAAGCAAACGCCCAATGGAGCCCAAAATGCAAAGCCTGAAAAAGGACCACCCATGGAATCATTATACCACAACGCGGCCAATGAATCGATTGAGGGAGGTTTGCAATTTGATCCAGAACTTGGACGTGGCTATGGTTATGCGCTTTTAAATGTGAGTCTTTTGTTTGTCCTTATAATAATATATCTTAAGGAGAATTTCATATTTACAGGGTAATCGTTGGTATAACTTGGGGAAAGAGATGGTTTGCCTAAAAGGTAAACTCATTGAAGAGTTAAAAGCCATGAAGAAAACCAAAACAATGGATTCAAGCTTTGTATCGAGCCTCCTTACTGCGGTTTTTACAGACGATGTGTTGAAAGAATCTTCGTGTGGCGGGCGTCAATCGAATTTCAACAAAATCTCACACAAAGCGCTCGATCCGGTCAAGTTAAAGCTTACAAAAGGTATTTTTTTAATTTAAAACGAAACATATTTTTGAAGGAATTCATACCCATTTGTTTTTCACAGAATTCTTTGAACAGCGTGTGGGAAATGATGCAGCCAGAAAGAGCTCATTGTGAAAATTGTGAATAAAAAGTGCAACAACTTGCGACGCAAATAATATTATTTATTGGATATATAAACATTACAAGAATGTACATAAATTGATGTTATCTTCATTATGTATAAATCTGTAATTCTCACTTTGAGTATAGGGTCATGTACCCGAATGTGAGCCGTACCCTAATGTGAGCCACCTTTAATTTTCGGACTAAACGTTGACATATGTCAACGAAATTTCTGTCATCGGTTTCTTTTGACAGTATCTTGTTTTTCTAATATCAAACACCCAGATTCACATACGTTTTGTTACTCAAATAAAGAAATGATAAATTTTTTTTTCAAAAAGTTTTTCCTTATCATCATATAAACCGTTATTTTGTGTGATTTTTTCGATGATTTTAAAGGTAAATATATACAAAGTGTTGGTTTCATCTCTATTTTCAATAATCCGAAGGGAATTTGTGATTTGCTCAACTTGTGTTTGTGTAGCGTCAGTCGGCGCGAAATCACGCTTGTACCCGAATGTGAGCCACCTTTTTTCTTTTGACCATAGAAGCGTCAAAAATTTGAAATTTTGTACATCTGATGGCACTATTTTGTAGAGGAAGGAAAACCCCAACTTTCTGCATCATTCGTTTTTCAAAATTTTGATTTTTTCCCAAAAATTTTTGGATTTTTGGTTTGGCATGAAATCGATGGATCTCACATTTGAGTGTAATTTTTTTTGCTCATATCTTCATTTATTTGTCTTAAAGGATTGTTGATTCAACATTTAAAATGATTTATGTGGATATTTATGCATTTATTCGATGAATTTTGGGGGTGGCTCACATTAGGGTACAGTTTTGAAAAAGTCAAAAAATCAGCATGTTGGCAAAATCCAAATTTTTTTGGGAAAAATCAAAATTTTGAAAAACGAATGATGCAGAAAGTTAGGATTTTCCTTCCTCTACAAAATAGTGCCATCAGATGTACAAAATTTCAAATTTTTGACGCTTTTATGGTCAAAAGAAAAAAGGTGGCTCACATTCGGGTACATGACCCTATCAACGCTAAAGTGTTGGAGAGAACTTTTCAAGATCGTATTGGAATGATTTTTCCAATACTATGGTAAAGAATAACACTAATACTCATATCTCAAAATGTATCTCTATCTCACATTCGTTCGATATAAGAAAAATAGTACCGGTATAATTTAATTTTTATAATCGTTTTTCATATTTAATTGTCATTTTAACTTATTTTTCTTATAATTTTATATCAGGAAGAGCAGAATATGTACGTTATTTATTAAAATTAATATCACCCAATTGCGTGTAAGCAATTGATTTTTGACTTAGCTACGTTTGGAAAGAACTTTTCAGTTATAGTTATCGATCAATCATCGGCACTTCTACTGGCATGTGTCAAAATAATGACAGCATTTAACTCACCGCACGAATATCTAAACCACTGCTTCGATTGTTTGTTCAATGGCCAACGATCCGATATTTTATTCATTCGTTTTGATCGCCCACACACTGTCAAACTGATTATGCAAAACAAGCAACTGGCTAAGCTCGATGCAGTGCCTCGCAACTTCTACCGTCGAATGCTTGGGTATTTGATTCAAGAAAATAGCTTCGAAAATGTGGCCAAGATAATTTATGATGTCTTTGACATATTGCATCGGAAGTACATCGATACAAAAGATGAAAACTTGAGAGATACACGATCGAAATTACATAAATTAATCGACTTGCATGAAATGGATGATGATGATGATGAAGAAGAAAAGGAGGAAAACGGAATGGACGGTTTTGATGCTGAGTCCGAAGATGGAGTGAAAATTGAGCGTAATAAATTTTACAATTGGGTTAAAAATATTTCAGAGGAGAAGAAAAAAGCGCACGCAAAACTTTCAAAAGAAAAAAGGTCTATTAGCAAAGGTTTTGAGCTGAATCCACTCCATGTACCAAAGATTGAAGATACATTGATTGATTTAATTGGAAAGCTACCCCTGACTGGAAATATCATGTGTAAAACTTTCAAATGTAAGAAGAAAATTCCGTGTTCAACGCCTACTGAAGTTGCATTTCGAACACTGAAGCGAAGCGTTTTAAAAACTGCTCACAGCATCCGACCGGATCATTATCTCGAAAAACATTTAACGTTTTTGCAAGGGCAAAGTTGTTACAGGGGAAGATATCAAAGATGAAATTGAGATTCAACACGAAAATGAGGAGGAAGAAGAAGGAAAAGAAAACGAAAAAGTAGTTGCAAATGAGGTAGACGAACAAGAAGGTCAAGAAGAGGAACATGAAGAGAAATACGATGAAAATGAAAAAGAAGAAGAAGGAGAAGAAAAATCTGATGAATTTGATGCTAAAATGAAACAAGATATTTGGCGTAACTACAACGATTTGGCCAAACCGGAGAAGAAAAAGTTCGAAATGCGATCGAATCGGGCAACTTACTCCATTTTGAACCCAATTAACCGCTATCGTATACAAATACCAGTCCTCAAAAATGGTTATCGGGATGAGAAAGCCAAACCGATGACCAGCACCAGTCAAACTTGTGGTTTTGATGCCTTTTTCCACGCATATCTAGCTAGTTATATTGACATCCCGTCATTTAAACAAATGCTTGATAAATGTAGCGGGGATTTTGCAGCGCTTATCAAAACAACCGTCGAATCCAGAAAAAAAGAAGATGTTTATGTTGCGCGAAATAAGCTTCTTGTGAAATACTACACCGAAGATATGGATGTCCGATACCGCAACAATACCATTACAAAAAAATTGATTTTAATTGATTGCTACACGTCTGCAAATGTAGTATTCGGCTTGATATGCAATCGTCAGCACGAGCTAGCGAGGTTTATTGAAAAAAAAGTTTGTGAGAATTGCAATACGATGATCGCTCCAGAACAACTCATCTATCATTTCCCGGTAAACTATAATATCTTTGATATAAAAAATATTCAGCCTTCGGTGGATCATTGTCGTTTGAGTGTCAGTTTGAAAGAAACTTGCAAAAAGAGTGGCATCATGATCGATTCTGAAAACGTGCCGAAAGCCAAAAATATTCCACCTGGCGAGATAAGTCGAAGTATCACTATCAATGGAAAAAACTACCAGTTCAAAGCTGCGATCGAATGGACAGTGATCAATCACTTCGTCGTCCACATTCTCCGTGGTGATCAATGGGAATTGTACGACGATATGCATCCAATACGAGCCATGCCATCCAGAAATAACATTAAACCGATTCAATTGCTTTTTGTGGAAGAGGAATTCTCACCTAGGAGCGCTTCAACACCAATTGTAAAAATCGCAAAAATATCTCTAAGTAACGTTTGATTTTGATTGAAGAATTTTATTTTCCATTTAAAAATATATTCTTCTCTTATTCATATGTAAAGACAAAACAAAATTACTGACGTTTTCGAAATAATTTTTCAGCAAATCTTAATGAAAAAGAGATACATGAAATTCAATTGAATTTGCGCACGAAGGGGAAAAACGGAAGAAAATGAAGGGAGCAAGAAAAGAAAGAAAATTTCACCACCGGCCACAAAACCAAAAACGAAAAAAAACATTCCAGCGGCCTGAAAGGTTCAATATTACAAAATAACCAAATGAAAAATAATTTAATAAAAATTCGATTTCGGCGATTTATCGAACAATTAAATCTGGTGGTTTTTTGGTTTCCAAACAATTAGTTTGATTTGGATGAAGTATCCTCTCGAGACAGCAAAATTGAATTTAGTGAAGATTCGTTTCGATTTTCGATCGAAATATGAAGAAAAATGCCGGC